CCGGTCATCCGAGCAGCGGGCAGGCGCTGATTGCGCGAGGAGATGGGGGCCGATGCGCGGCTACACGGCGGGTGGAGGGAAAGTGGAGGGGCGGGAGAGTGAGTATGGGACAGCCTAGTGTGTTGGGACGGCGAGGGGTTCCGCTGGCCGGGTTGGAGGTGTCATAATTTCCGTTTTGGGTGGAGACGGATGGCGGTATGTGGCTGTCTGAAGGCGTGAAGCGAGCGTGCTGTAGAGTGTCGTAACATATGGGTGTTACGATGGGGGTGTGTGCGAGTAAAGACGGGTTTTTTATCGCGGTGGTAACGATTTTTTTCGTTTAGTGAGTTGTAGGATAATAGGGTGGATAAGCGGCCTTGCAGAATACATGGTTGAACACAATGAGGTGAGTACAAGGTTTGAGTGAAGTGGCAAACGATTACATTGTCTGGAAACGGTCGTCCGTGTCATTTTGTACGTTGTTTTTAAATGTTATGTAAAAGTAACTCTGTTTACTTAACACACGGCCTGAGGCGTGGCGGAAGTTCCTGCAGGGCAGCAGGCCCGGCTTTTTTTATCCAGGTCGCGTCCTATGTTTTATTAAAACCGCTGCTTAACCCTGCTCTAATTTTATTGTTTATGGACGTGGTGGGTGGTTGGCGCGCTGACGTTGTACTTAGGCTAGGAGCGTGAACGACTCGTGGTGTCAATGGATTTGTGGAGAACAGGTTGGGGTGATGTTGTGGTTGTTGCGAAAGAGCGGCGTGGCGCGCTGGGGGCGGCTTTGTGGAGGTGTTGTGCTTGTGTGTGTGTCTGTAGTGTGTGCGGTGTGTCGTGTGTTGCATCGCCGCGTGTGTGTGGTGTGTGTGTTCGTCATGCTTTGACCGGTACGACAGTCGCGTCGGCGTGTCTCGCCGACTACGGGCTTAAGGATTGTAAGTACTGTTAACGACCTTTTTTTCCATGACGAAAACGAGACGATGACGAGATGGAACCGACGGCAGTAAACAATAACTGTAACGAAATCATCTATGCAATATCGTTGACGAAAAGTGACGAGACGAAAATGTAGTTTGCTAAATAAAAACTATGCCAAAACCTCTCTTTACTTTCGTTGACGAAAAATGAGGAGACGAAATATTATCAAAGATAACGTTACATCTCTGATAGTAAGTTTTTCTTCCAGCAGTTCCATTTCCGGTGCTGCGGCTGGGCAGCAGCTGTGTGTCCGTGCGCGCGGCAGTACATTTGAATTACACCGGGCAGTGTCAGAATATGAACTGTCAGGAAGACTCGGGTCTAACTCATGGTCTAACTAACCTTATTCAACACTCGCGTTAACCGAATACCCCCCCGTCAGCGCGAGTGAGTGATAAATTGTGCACTCGACGGGTAATAATGGATTATGATGGAAATGTTACGATCCTGCCCGTCAAAATGACTGACAACGAAAAAGTCTAAAGCCACCTCTGCTTGGGAGAAATAAACAATGTGATATTTGGGCCCTTTTTCGCTACAATGAGGTGGAGAAAAAAAGCGAATGCATTGTTATATCAGAAGGGAAGCAATGTGGCCATAACACAGCTGGTAAAAACACCACAAACCTAACCAGATACTCTCTGCAAAGCTGCATTCTTAATCATTCAACCTGTGTTTTTCATCAAATAAGGACAAGATATAATCTTATTGTGACAGAAGTTTGACTAAAAGGACAAATGACTGGTTTTGGCTAGAATAGTTTGACTGAAATGTTCTATATAATCCGATGACTAAAAAAGATTCAACAGTTTTCATTGACAAAAAGTAGACTAAAATAATTAGTTTTCTTAGACTAAAATAAGACTAAAATGCTCAGACTTTTAGTCGACTAAAACTTGACTAAATAAAAACAGGATGAAGGTGACTAAATATGACTAAAACTAAAAAAGGAAATTTAACACAGGACTAAAACTAAATTAAAAAAATAGCTGATGAATTTAACACTAATTGTAAGAATGTATTGCTGAAGGAGCAGGTACATATTCAATTCATATATTATATTTATATTATACATCATATATTTTATATATAAAACTTTTTCTTTTGTCCACCGCTTCAAACCATGTAATCATATTTAACACTGTGAAGATGTGCATTTCAAAATACAAATAGCAGTGAAAGACTGGGATTATTAATCAGTTTCTTTCTTTCATGTTTCCATTTTTGTTTTAAAAAAGGAGCCTGCGCACTTTGTCTGGTCAGAAAATTCAATTTCTTTTGGGCATGAAGTTAAAGAATCTACAGTCTAATACTCAAACATATTTAATTTGTAGTTAAAGAAAAACAAAGAAAAAAAAACAAAGTCCTCACATTTAAACTAATGAAGATTCAGCGTTTTCCCCCCAAATAAATTGGTTAATTAATTATTTTGTAGATGTTAAATTAAGATTGCTGTTGATTAATCGACTAATTGTTCAAGCTCTCATCTTATCAACTATTTCCGACATATTCAATGCAACTACTATAAATTGCAGAGTAAACTTGTAGAGCAAAGAAAACTGTAAACAACTTATGAGCAGTGCATTTTGTGTGGGCTTGAAGAATCCTGGCAATAAGTGCCTGGCAAAAATCTAAAAGGGTGTATGCCCCTTCTGCCCCCTCACTGACCTCTGAGTGATACGGGCGTTTGAGCCCCTGCTGGGGCCCGGGATAGCCTCCGTGCTGGGGCATCTTCTGAGCCTGGTGGGGGTGGGTGGGATACAGGCCTGCGGTGGAAGGTGGAGGTCCGGGCCTGGAAGAGACCATCCCTGGAGGACCGCGGGGGCCCGCATGAGACAGGAACTGGGTGCTGTAAGAGGATGCTCCACCCATCTGGGAGGGAAGAGGAAGAACAACAGGGGTGAAAACAAAGCTCAAAGGGTGTTTGACACAGAGCAGAGGGGGTGAGTGTGAACAGAGTGACAGAAGGGGAGAAGTCATTAAAACGCTGTTAGTGTGACTGTAGGAAAAAACAGACCAGAGCCTGGATTTATTTAATTATCAGAATCTCTCCAAAATATCTCACTGAAACTACATCTAGGACGAAAAACAAGCAAAACACTAGCCACATTTTGTATTTCTCCGATAGTTCTGGTTTGAATAATTTCAATACAGAAAGTATGGCAACTTTTAAAACTAAGTCTTGACACTTAGGATCAGCTATGCATCACACTGTGGCTGCCTCCTATTAGCTGGGTAAGTTGTTTTGGTCTTTCTTCATTCAGTTATTAATTTTTTCATGAGGGATAACTTATTTTCAAGAATCTCATGAGCAGTGCACATCTTTGCTTTTAGAGCGGAAAGTTTGCATGACTCTTTGTAGAGAAACACAATTAGTTGCCGATATCATAGGATTTTTAGTCGACTTGAATTTCTTTAATGGAGGCCAGCCCTGAAACTAAGATCTATAACTTAGAATTAAAGTTCATTGCTCCAAATTAAGATACATCTAAGACCAACATTTCACATAAGTTGTGACTGGGGAAGTTTACTGGATCAGAAGGGGATAGTTGTTTAGCCAAAAGAGATGAAATGATTCTGGGCTGGGTTAAAAGCTCCCCGGCTCCAATACAGTCACACATGTACCTGGCCATAGCTCATCTCCTGGTGCTGTTTCTCTTGTATTGCCGCAACAGTTGCCGTAGCAGTGGCAGTTGCTGTGGCTGCGGCGGCGGCAACAGCAGCCGCAGCAGCCTGAGTGAAGTCTGAGGGAGGACGGATGCCCATACCGGCACCTCCACCGTTACCAGAGTAACTGCAGAGAGAGGGGAAGACGGGGAGAGGAGTGGGCGATGAACTAAGTGAATTGAGCGTGTGAGCGTGTGGTTTCGTCATGAGCATGAGTCAGAGCAGTGGGAGAGAGCAGCCACGCTGACATATTTTGATGCAAAATCACGTAGATGTATTTCAAAGCGTAGTGCTACATAACACTGAACATTCATCAAACTAATTTAGTTTTTATAGTTTCATTTCTTGCTGATCACAGCCAGGCATGATAAATAATGTTCTCTACCCAAACTGCTCAATGTAAAAGGACAGTTAACCAGTTAGTAATCAGCTGGTGCACTCCACTCCACATCTAGCAGCGAATATTCGGCGCGCTTCAACATGTGTATTTCGGTTTATTAAAAAGGCATTCATTTTGTTATTCTACAGTATTGTTGTTTTATAGTTATTTGTTAATGTATATAACCCAATTTGTTTTCTTTGAAATTGAAAAGGATATTGCATTGTGTTTGTTACTTTCGTTGCAGTTGTATATACGTCTTAAGTGTAATTTGGCTTCCTATTTTTCCAATTTGAAAAAAATAATAATAATAATGAACGAATAACGAAATTGAAAACCGAATAGTACTCCAACGACCGAATATTCGGATATTCGGGTAGAGCCCTAGATAATTGAAAATGTGATATTGTGACAGCCCTTGTTGCAACACAGCCCATGCCACATGGCTATAATATTTTCTTGATTTCATTAACATATAATTATAAACACAAACATCCATAATCTGGTGAAAGTTAAAATAATAATATAGCCATTAATTAACTTGTTTCTGCCTTTTCAAAATTCTTTGCACAACACAAATGGACATGGGGCATTAAATGAACTGCAGCTGATATTTGGTGAGCAGAAACGCAGCCTACCTTCCTCCGTACCCCGAGGCCGGGTTGTAAGCCGGGTTGGGACGTCCGTACATGATTGGCTGGCCGTATCCTTTGGAGATAGCGTCTCCGTACGAGTGCTGGCCCATGAACTGGGACCCCATGCCGGGACCCATACCAGGACCACCGCCAGGCATCATGTGACCGCCAGAGCTCTCACCCGGACCCATGGGTGAACAGAACACCTAAATGAGAAAAAAGAGAGAAGTGTTATCACAGTAAACAATCATAAGAACCATAACCAAGTCAATCAGAGAGAGGAAGGAACACAAAGGCCACAGTGTACAGTCATATTCACTTCTAAGTATCACAATGATAGTCCCTCTGATATGAGATATGACATCCCTATTTTATGAGGCCATACAATTGAATAATGAAAGTCTTTTAGTTTTTCTCAGCAGTTATGGCGTTTAAAATAAACCCATTAAAAAGACTGACTGATATAGTTCAATCCACCTAAATGATTGACATTTCAAGTGCATTTCAATCTTGCAAAGCTTAATTCAAAGCTGAAAATAATTGTTATATGGTACTTAGTAAAGGGTACATTGAAAAAGTCCTTGAAAGAAAATCTCAATTAAACTCAAATATAGACTTATTTAGGGCTGATAGGTCTTGATTGTAACCTGACATGGTTTCTATTTAGTTTTATTTGTATGAATTCTAAAAAGAAATCCAGTTGCAGAAACATATAACACAAAACAACCGAACAAGTAGCTTAATAAAACAAAACATGGCATAGATAATATTATTAACAATTTACCATTACTGTAAAAGTCTTATACTATGGGACTTGGATTAACATTAAATGTATAAAACAATAGAATTTGGAATGGAAAATATTAAATAAAAATGACCTAGGCAATGTCATCCTTGTTCACCACTTAATAAAGGCACTCTGGTTCTTTTTTAAATGATAGGAGAGAAAATGTTAAAAAAACGTGCCTTCACTGTAGCAGTCTGGTGAATATGGTTCTATTTTTTATACATAAATAATACATGTATTTATTGTATCTTTACAGCACATAAAACAGGAGGAGAAGGGAATAATAAAAGATGTCCCCGGGTGCTGTGACATGTGCTACCTGGCTGTGTGTGGGATTGGTCACGCCCCACACTGTGGTTACTACAGAGAGAGATCCTGGGTGCTGATTGGTTCCTGGTTGCCAGGAGACTGGGTCATTCAGGAAGGGGCCGTCACTGCTGCAGGAGGAGATGAAGCCGAGTTACAGGGATGTTGAGGAAGGTTCAGGAGAGAAATTCATCCATTTATCAATGACTGTACCACAGACTTTCATAATGTCCTCAATACAACTAAAAAGAGTGTGAACCAACTTATTAGGGTCTTTTTTACTGGAGCAGACATACTGTATTGAGTAAGAGGTCATCAATACATCATTAACACCCCGTGAGCTAACGATTAACCTGAGCATGGTTTATTCATCTGACGGTTGTGGTTACCCTGTGCTTCCTCCTTTAAAACCGTTTCCTCAACAGGAAACTACCACAACAGCATTGATGTCATACCAGAAGTTATGGGTTAATACAATTTACATCTTTACCCCAATAAAAAGTATTTTTACAAGTTAATTTACTATCTATTTTCCATAGTTCTTGGGGCAAAGAATCATAAGATCACAAGATTGAAATGAACTACTTTGCTCTTTCCCTTTCCTTTTATCACCAGGCCCATTTCTGAGGCTGTTAGTCGTGTCAATGAGCTGGCAACACATTTGAGCTTTCACGGCTTTCTAGGGGGGGAATAGAGCCTTCAACAGGCTTTGTGGCCGCACTCAATTAAAGGAGCGTTTTGGCTCGAGACCACCTGATCAAGACACTTCCAAAAAGGAAGAACAGAGGACACTCAGCAGCCAGTGTCCTTAACAGTTCTTAATTAAAGATTTGAAGCAGTTTGGTGTCCATTTATTTTGTCTTTTGTGCCTCTACAACAACAGGTTTAGCAGTAGCACATCCCACGGCTGCACTCTTGAATGAACACTATTTTCTGATTCAAAAGATTCTTTTTTCTGTACAGACTATTAATGTGTTCGTCTGTATGGCAGGAGATACAACCTGGCCTACATTCTAGTTGTGTGATAATATTGTGTTTATTTCACCACACAGAATATCACTTTTTTACTGCATTTATCGCCGTTTCATCTTATGGAATATTGGGGACTCTACTCATGGCTCTGAAGATGTTGCTAGTGGTAAAGAACTTGGCTTTTTACATTTGAATCTGGATTGGAAAGGAGTAAACTGCATCAGCAGGCAACTAGCAGGCTATCCAGCTCTTTATTTGCATTTCACATTATTGCGTTAAAAAAGCTGATTTGAAGATGACGTAGAGTGAACGTCAGTGAAGAGCTGAAAACATCAGACGTGTGTCGAGAGGTGACTTCCTCACCACAGAAACGTCATATTTACATCTTGTTTTCGCATGGTTTCCATGGTTTGATCCAAACCTGGGCAGATGTTGTACACAATCAGCTCAAACGTCTGCCTGATCAGTTGTTGTTTGACGTTCAGCATGATGGAGGGGGGGGGTGGGGTGGGGGCGGGTGGGGGGAATCAATGATCTGGCTTATGCAGTCAGATGAAGGTCAGAATGTTGAGTCTGCAGACTTGCAGCCTGATTTCCCTCATGGTTGCTGTCAAAACATCCCTAGTACACTGTCTGAGCTTATTTGAATATTTCTGAAGTAGTATTTTACATGTTGTGGATACTTTTATTCTTCGATGCGACTAAGCTGTGATTTTAAAGTGAACCATGTCTTTCCGACAGCTTCCATGCTGTATTTCACTTCTTATTTCTAAGTACTGATGCCTTTTTTTTTATATTTCTGAGGTTGTTTTGCTGGACAAAATCGACCAGGTGTTCTTTGCTAATGTTCAGAGAGAGCTCCACATCATGGTTGGTCAATTGATCGTTAAAAAGGCCAAATAAAACGTGCAGCGAGTTAACCCAGATGCCAGATCCATGAAAAAAGAACATTCATATTTGTAGAGGATGGAAATGCACATTTAACTGCATTTTCTTTTACAATTGATCCGAAAAATCTAACCAGGTGACCAATACAGGGTGTCACATGGTTCACCTGAGGACACTGAGCTTGATGTCACAACAGTGTGTGTGTGTTTGGGTGTGTGTACCTTTGTGGATTGAGAGGCAGGGAGGGTTTCATGGAGTTGAGGGGGTTCATCGGATGAACGGGGGGATCATTACAGAGCCCCCACAGTCCTCAAGAGGCAGCCCTGAGAGGGAGAGAGACGCACACATAAAAAGACGGTTACTCAGAGCTCATTTGCTGCACAGCAACAATTCATCATCACTATAGCCCACACTGTGCGCACAAAGACACAGCGCCCTCCCACTCACTTTAATCTGTATGTGTGTGGACTGTGCACATCAAAACGTTAGCCTATCACTGGCTGCTGTAGCTCTGATACCTCTCTGAGGAGGGGGGAGGGGTGCTGGAAGCTAAATTTAGCTTGCTGATTTCAAAAGGAATTTAAGAGAACAGAGATGTGAAGAGGCAGACTCTTCTCTCAGCAGCTCACCGACGTACAAATCAGCCGCTAACACACACTTCTGTTGTGTCGCTGTGAGGAATCATCTTGTTCTGCGATTTGCTTCATTTATAAAACACCCTTGCATGTTGATCTGCCACTTTCCCTCCTTCAATACCAGATGTTTTCTCTTTGTTTCTACTCGCCATCTCTGCTCCCGCTAATGATTTTCTTTATCTGACAGTTAACAACGGATATATGAAAATGGTATTTATTTGTTTATTTGGTAGGGACACATTAATGAACACTTACAACAATAAATGTGCGAAGCGTAAATATGCTGGATTTAGCTTTGATCTACTTTCCATCGCTCACATAAAACATTTCATTTCTGCCATTTGGTTTCCTTTTTGCACTTTTGCAGATTTGGGTCAGACACCCCACCCCGCGTCTTGTTTAGAAGGAGGGGAGGTGGGTGCTTGAATCACATGACCGTTATACCTGAATTCCCTCCTATCAAAAGGCATCTTCAGCCTCCAGACAGCACCTTGTAACTTCCATCACAGCTGAGCGTTAACCACACAAAGAGCTTGTAAGATGTCTGTCTCCATCACAGGCAGAACAGGCTGTACCTGCAGTGCAACGACTGAGACACGCTGTTCTCTCACAATCTCCTTGCCTCTTTTGACCTCAACTTCCTGACCTTTTCTATACCCGCAGCTCTTCCTCTTCATCCAACTGCTTTCTTTTCTTGTCCTTCCGCTCTTATGTCGTGTCAGCTACTGCCATCACATTGACAGCCAGAAACACTGGAGGCGCTCAATCAACCCTCAGCTGACCCTCGGATTTCAGCCACTACAAACGCTGTTTTGGCTTGGACTGATTCCAGCTATTTGTGCAGAAGCAGATGGAACGGATAACAGAGAAAGGGTGGTTCAAGTTTAATAACCCACATTTATTTCTAATGTTCCTTTTCAATGAATACTACAATAAAAGCCACAATGAAACAATTGTCTGCAGACTGTGTACCACATGTTCAGAGGATGCAGTCAAAACACTGATTTATGCAGTTTGAATGCGTTTTTCAAATGTCTATTCAATTATTCTGACAATTATTATTATTGGTTCAATGAATTGTGAAGGCATACAATGCTCCTTATGCTTTTTTAGAGTCTAAAGTGAGGTCTAAATGTTGGCTTCTTTTGTTTAATGAAAATGTTTTTGGTATCTGTACTTCAAAGTTCAAACAATATCATGCAGTTATAATCGTCATTAACATAAACATTTGAAACTGTAAAACGGTAATAAAGCAGTCTTTACAGCTTAATATTTGTTACGTTATCATGAGAAACTTAAACTAACATTTAAAACAAAGTTATTAACACGAATGAAAACATACTGGAGTCTCTATGGATTTGTTAAAAGCTACTGATTACATCTGGGGCCAAAAATATATAATCAAATTCGATTAAACCTAATAATCAATTCACGTCTGGAGAAAACTGCTATTAATGTTCAAGTTGCTGCTCGAGGGTAAGACAGGTTGGCAGCCATTCAGGAAAGATGATTAAACACTCCCTCTGCTACTTAATCAAATCAAAAACACAAATACACTTTACATAATTAATGAGTTGACAGTCAGACCACCATGTAAATTAAATCAAGGCTCTTCAGTGGCTCTTCTGTTACGACACCCACTGTGTGCAGTGATGGAATGGAACTCAGTACACTTACTCAAGTACAAGTTGCAGGTAGCTGTAGATAACTTATTTCATGCAACTCTATACTTCTTTTCCACTCTATTTCAAAAGAAACATTTAACATTTTACTCCACTACTTTTTTTTGGATGACCTCAGTCATTCTAAAATAAAGAATCACAACACTGAAGAACAAGTTTAGGATCAAGTTCACATTTAAACTTGATGTATAGTAACATTGATTTTTTTTTAAAAAACGATTTGAATACCTCAAATGTTGTGTATTGTTCGACAAACAGTCCAAAACACAAATTTGTTTCCACACATTATGATATGAAACATACAAAATAAGAAAACCCTTGGACTAAAGATGCTGGGACGGTATAATATTAGACTTCTGTATTCATTGCATTACAAAGATGTTAGATTGTTTCATATTACCCTCAGTAATATAAAGGGGGTGGACAACATCATAGTTACACCTTTCAATATAAAACAACCACAAACTACATGTCCAAATTAATCATACAAATTAATACACTTCAACAGAAACTGAACATCATGACCTTTAGGAAGGGATGAGTTTTTCAGGACTGCTTGAATAGACTGCATTAACATTCGCCAGCTGTATCTGATAAACCAAAAAAACAACAGTTTTTATTACCAAAACATCTATAAAAAAAAAAGGGAGAAGGGGTCGGATTAAATAAGTGTAAACTTCTTCAGACCCCTTTTCAGACGTGTAATTAGCTAAAGCTTTGTTGTTTATTGATATCAGACAATGATACTACAGATTATTCAATTATTAATTAAATATTTCGTTTTGTTATTGCATTCATTTGTATAGTACTGCATCATGTCTGTATCATCTTTTGTTTCATTTGTATTTTCTTTGGTTTTACACGCTCGAAAAAAATAAATAAACTAAACTAACCTACGAGTCGAGTTGCCCATCTAACATTCCTGAAGCGCAAAGTGATATCTGTCCAACAGTAAAAAACCTGAATATTTAAATATCACATGACAACTGAGATACTTAAACTATGAAAGAAAGACTCAGACAATGAAAATATTTCCTGATCACTTTTTCTTTGATCAACCAATTCACTAAATGATGAATTGGTTTATTCTTTTTGCTTTTATTTGCCACTGAATTTCGTGGCAAATAGCTGAGCAGGTACATTGGATTAACTCGGAACGGAAAACATTTGTTTTCTTGTTAATACAATAAGTCACCTTTTGACAACAAGGTACATTCTAACATCTGCTCACAATATTGTCGGGAAATTCAAAGTACTTTTCTGAATAACCAAAGCAGCGTAGGAGGCCACTGCTGCCTGATAACTGGGCTGCCGGCTGAAAACATGCTCAACAATACACAAGCTTAACCTGGTTGATCCTGAGCAGACCTGCCTTTAATACAGCTTAATTAAGAGTCTCATTGGGATATGAGAGATTATCAGTTAATAGTCTTATAAATACAGAGGAGCAGGAAGCACCATGGGAGGAAAATGTCAGCTTGCAACCATCGAAAGATACAAATATTACTCCAAGGAATGAAACATTGTCTCACACTAACAAATGGTATACAAATTGTGAAGAAAGGATGAAATAAAAGGTATCCAGCACATTTCATATGTTGTTTTTGTTGTCGTTTATGTTTAGTGGTGGAATCTAAGTACATTTCTTCAAGTACAGTACTACCAACGGAAATAATGTAGCCTACTCCTTACAGCTTTATTCACGTTGCAGGTGCAGATGACTAATGGTAAATGTATTGCTAAATTATGTAATGCATGATAATGTAAAAAAATTACAGATTAAGATAAAACTTTCTTGATTCTGGGGTAAACTGATAAGCCTCACAGTAACATATAAAGTAATACAAATGATTCCCAGCTTTACCAGGTTCACAATTAAAGTGATATACATGCACGAATAAAACGTAAATTATATATGGTTCCAAAATTGATCATTCTGCATATTAAAGAAATGTTTTACTAGTGGTACTTACTAAAAGTACATTAGATGATTACAGTGTTGTACTTTTAGTTACAGAGTAAGATAACATTGCGGTTTTGGTACTTTAACGATTGGGGTACTTACATCACACAATGTGGTGGCATTATACGAAAAATTATGCTACAGGTGACTGATTAGAGCTAAAATGATCCCGATCTAGGCTTGAAATATACCGAAAAATATAAAATATACAGTGCAAGAAAATTAATCGGAAAGAGTTAACAGTACAATTAAAGCCCTCGCACTTTACTGTGTATCTGTAGAGTTATGTCCTAAAGCAAATCAAAAATCATCAAATCTAAAACATCTGGATGCTTCAAAAAACAACAGCATCGATCTGCTTTGAGTCGTTAAAACACCTTCTTCACCCAAGACTGCTTTTTCACAGAAACAGTGAAGCCTGGCTTCCAGCCAACACAACATGTTATTGTACCCATGATACATTCAGGAAGTCATGTCAAACAGGGGAAGAAAACAGGCACTGGCTACCTAATAAAACACATTGCAATTCAACAACAACCCATGCATATTAAAACAACTGTTGTGTAAACCATTCAGGGTGCACAATCAGCTTGTGCAAAACGGACAGAATTTCATTTTACGATGTGCCAATTTGTATTTTGTTTTAAAAGCATTGGAAAATTATGCAAATTCTCTGTACCTGCAAAATATTATATAAAAACAAAACATGCTGCTTACATTTGCAGCAGTACAAAGCAGAACAAAGCATCTCAGCAGTGTGCATGCTATGGAGGAGTGCAGCCTCTCTCTGTCTCTTCATGTTATCCATCACTGAAAAATGAAAATAGCAGATGTTTCCTTTCACCTACCTGAGCTGATTTGCTTCATAAACGCAGATAATATGCAGCAAGTAAAGCTGGGAGTTAGTAATGATACAAATGTAATATCTAGGTGATATTGCTGTGTTGTAGCCTCAAGTTTGAGTGATCTATCTTGTTAGTGGCAGTGAGTGAAACAGGAGCTGTGGAGGGTCTTTAACACGTTGCTGCTGCGCCGCTGGCACCGTTAGCTCCTGGAGGCTACTTAGCTAAGTATGTGTAACGTTAGCTTGTTCTACGTTACACTGAGCGAGTATCTATCTACAGCGTGTTATAAGCAGTTAACTGCAGAGCAAACAAGGCTATATTGATAATTAGTAACTGTAAACAGAGCTTACCTTTTGCCTGCTCAAGCTGCCAGACGATGAAGTGCCGCTTGATTGTAGACGGTTAGCCACTCGGCTAGCTAGCTAGCTAGTGTCGCAGTCCCGGCTAACAAGACAAGGCTGCTTGATTACCGTGTGGTCGAACATTAATAATATATTTGTATTTTGTTATCACACACCAGCCTCTTGAATAGTAAGTATACTATAAATAACACTTCAAATGTTATTGTGCTACCCTTATTTATTGCTAACTATAAATTATGAACAGTGACTAACTATGAGCTATCCGAGTCAATTAGAATAAGCGTGTTGCAGTCTGTGCTTGGGGCAAGCCATAATAACCTGGCAGCTCAGCAATACCTTCCTCATTGCACAATGACCCTCTATAATATATTCATGAGATCACAAGGGCTAATGTCTCCCACAGAGAAAGGCATTTTCCTGTCCCTCCTCCTACAAGTCAGGCGGCTGGCTGTCTGACTGACTGCAGACCAGAGCAGCAGATCATTTTAGAGAGGAGGGTGGAGGTGGTGGAGGAGGAGGAGGAGGAGGAGGGGGGAGAGCATGGACAATGACGTCACCCGTGCATGATCACGTATGTATGATCCATGCATGCAACATGATCTCTGCTTTCCACTTATGCACCTGCATGCATGTGTCACAATATTGTATCAACACACACACACACACACACACACACACACACACACACACACACACACACACACACACACACACACACACACACACACACACACACTCACACATACACCCTTTGCTCACAATTTCCAATCTACGACTGCAGTCATTTCACAATGTCACAGTAGGATGGAGTGAATGACTCCTCAACAACATATCTTCACACAAAACCTGAGACATCAGTGAGGCGTTGAGCCTCCTTTCACTCTGAGGCAATGCTGCAACAACCTGACCTCCAGGAGGAAATAAAAGAGGGGGGAGATGGGGAGGGTTGAGGAGACAAAGAGGGAGTAAAAAAACAAAGCTGCCTGCACTCACAGATTAAAGAATGTGGTTAATCTCGCTTTTTCCCCCCCGAGGCAAGCGAGGAGAAAAACGGGGACAGGAACAGTGCCATCTTTTCTAAAACTTGATTATTCTCATGGCAGTTCTATAGAGTTCAGGCAGATGGCTCACCATATTGCACACATAACTATAGGTGTTATTTTTGAATATTAATGCATAAAAGTGGTTTAGACAGAAAAGGCATACAGCTGCCACCAGGGGAGACACATTTACTCTGGGCATGTCTCCTTACTTTCAGGCCTTTTTAAGTCATCCTTGTGTTTCTGAAGTGTTATGTGTGCATACCATTGTAGTGACTTCTCTTTGGCATGAGGCAGAACATTCCAGGGAAATGGCTGACCCTGAGTAACACAGTGAGGAAGTGAGGTCCTCCGCCCTTTTATTGCACAAGCTGCTGTTTCCTTACAGACACATGACATTGTGTGTGGGAAAACACAGCCACACATAATATACGCAGCTAGAATAGCAGCATGACTATCATCACAAGAACACATGACAGTGTTTCCCCCTCAGCTATGTCTTAAAAAAAACATACAAAATCTTGATTTTCACCCTGCATTCATCAATGACCTCCCATTTACTCTATGCTGAAACCATAGGCTGAAACGAGAGCATTGAGTATTTGTGTTTTGCTAATGACTGAAACAATCAATCTATCATTGAAAAAGTTGCCAATACATTTTCTGAATAAATCTCGGGCTCAACTCAATTACTGTACTTAAGTGCAAATATGTGACACATTAAAGTGTTACTATTTAAAGTTATTTTTCTACTTCCCTTGAGAAAAATATTATACTATATAGCCTACTGCAATACATGTATCTGTCAGCTATTGTGACTGTACAAATGATCATTTTAAAAACATAATTAATTTATATAGTGCATTTAGATACATTTAACTTAAAAAAAGAGTGTATAGTATTAGAATAAAGTTAAATAAGCCATCAACTACAATTATTAATACATACCGATAAAAAGCAGGAGAGTAATTTTTTTACTTTCATATTTTAGGAACTAATTATTACTCATGTACTTTTAGTTATTTGATATTCTAAAAATAAATGATTTAATGTGAAGTGGAGTACTTTCACAGTGTGTTATTGCTTTAAAAAAGCATCATAAAAATTATATAAATACTTTCTCCACCACAGCCATAACAGATAACTCCTTTTCTCCTGATGTCTCTCTCTCTATATCCAGCTTGGCCATCTGTGTGACCCTCCATTTGTGCGATGTGATGATGCAGTAGTGTATTTTTACTCCAGTCTCACTGGTTGAAAGCAGTTTGACGCAATTAGCATGAACTCCAAATCATCCTTCTGTCCTTCGACCCCTAATTTTCATATTTTTACATGTTACTCCTACGACCATCTGGTGCTACAGAGACTCACTTTTCCTTTCTATTTTCATCTCCACAGAAATGATACAGCCCTGTGAATGACTTGTTGGATTCTCCTCAGCAGAAACTTACTGCATTTTATCCGGAACATCAGGAGCAGCTTGACCAGAGCTGTGCCCCCCTGCTGGTACTGGTATATCCCTGGGTATGCTTCAGCAAGCAATGGGGGGAATTATCTGAATACATTTTTACAGCTATTTTCACTTTTCAGATCAAGTTTTACAGTTAAATATAATAACAATAACAGATTTTTAAACCTGTGTTTTCCCCTTTTTGGCTCATCTCAAAAACGCAATGTCTATCGGAGGCCTATTTTCATGGTCTGGACCCAAAAAGGGAAGAGAATCCAATATTTATCCAAAGTTAGAACTTAGTTTCTTTACTTTTTTTGTTTCCACTTATATACAACCCATCAGATTTATCTGGTGACCAATTGCAGGGGCCCATATTGGGGGCCAACTGGTTTACATGGATGTAATGTGAACTATACTATACACCACTGAGTTGTTTGATCTGTAACACTATATTGCATTTGATAAGCTGAAGTTATATTTTGTTTAAAAGATTAATTGGTTTTAAATAACCAGTAACCACCGTTGTTAAATAAATAAATGTAGTGGAGTAAAAAGCAGAGGTGGGAGAAGTACTTAAAACGTGTACTTAAGTAAAGGTAAAGGTACCAGAGTGTACAGTAGGAATACTCTGTTACAAGTAAAAGTACTGCATTCAAAATGTTACTCAAGTAAAAGTACAAAAGTATTAGAATAAAAATATACTTAAAAGTACCAAAAGTAAAAGTACTCATTATGCAGATTGGCCCATTTAAGAATAATGTATGTTTTGATTATAATTATTGTTGCATTAAAGTGTCATGCAAAGCTGGTAAAGGTGAAGCTAGTTTTAATGACTTTTTATACTACAGGGTAGCTTGTGAATTTACTCCAGGTATAAATAAAGTCTTGTTTAAGTGTTGATTATTACATTATAAATCAAAATCTGCAAAGTAACTAAAGGTATTAAATAAATGTAGTGGATTAAAAGTACACGATTTACCTCAAATATGGAATGGAATGGAAGTACAAAGTAGCATGAAATGGAAAGTATATCAAAGTATTTATATAAAATACTTTAGTAAATCTACTTAGTTATTTTCCACCTCTGGTAAAAAGCATGATTTACTGTTTTAATTTTTAAAATGTAATGTATGAAGTATTATTGTTATTATTATTATTATTATTATTATTATTATTATTATTATCTTGCATGAGTTTGACATTCAAATGATAGAAATAACACAATTATTTTTGAAGTGGTTTTGTGGGAATCCTGCAACAACAACAAAATCACAGCTGGTCTGCTGCTGCCACCTTGTGTTTAAAATCTCAACTTCACTTCCTGTAATACTGTTTTCGTACCAGGCTGGTAAAAACTGTAGTTTATAACAAATACAAATAAAACATAAATAAAATAAAAGGTTAGTATACATAATAGTAAAAATAATTACCATCAAATCTAATGTCCCTATTCTCCGCAATAAGATTATAGTTCATGCTGGATTAATCTCAATTTTAGTTAAAACGAATGTTCTGTTGCAGAAGGTTTTAACATATTATAGTGGAAAGCTGCAATACCACAGAACCGTTTCGTGGATAATGTATAACTCACAGTTTCATTGCAGAAGAAGCACTGGCCCTTTAGTTCACTTTCGTTTTCGCTGCAAAGTGAAAGTAAAATTTAGCCTGTGTTTGAGGAGTCTTAACTGCGTTTTCATCGATGAATGCAGTTGTTGAAGAGAATTAAGTGAAATCTGAACACATTATACTCGCTGTCTTTTGTGAAAGGTGAGTATTTTTGAACAATTGTGCTTTGTTGTGTAGCTACTGTAGCTCCTGCGTGACAATGACAGACACAATGTCGCACTCGTTAATACAGTATATTTCATTTTTTGCCTTTCTGCTCTTAAAACGTAAGATTTGTGTGTGGGACAAACTAGCAGTGGTGGAAGAATTACTCAGATCACTCATTACCTTAAGTGAAAGTCGAAATGACACATTGTGAAAATACTCCGCTTTTTTCCCTTTTTCTTTCCCTAAGTTAAACTACAAACGTATCGTACGTTAAATATCAATTATTATTCTGGACTAACTACAGGGACGTGCACAGACATTTGGAGGGGCTATTGCTCTAAACTAGAGAAAGGGACTCCCCCCACCCCCTCGAAAACATAAGAACTTTTTATAAAAAAATGAAAACCAGGGACCTTTTTTTGTTTTGCGGTCCATATCTCATTAACATATCCAATGTTGGTAACTATTAAAGACAAAATGCGGACAATTCTGTTTTAATGTAGTTTGACCATTGTAACGGCTGTGTCTTAAATAAACTCACTAATTGGTTAAACCAGTTCAATACACATTATTCTTATTCTTATCATTCTTTATGAGCGCAGTAATGGTAAGGTATCTAATTACTTATTTATTTAGTATTCCATAACTTAATAACAGAGATGGTCAAACTTAAGTTGAGACATGGCAGAAATCCTACAATGAAGCGGGACAGTGTTCTCCCATATGTGAGAGAGGGCGATCAAGAAAAGAGAGAGAGCGGTGAGGGAGTTTATTGAGCAGATGAAAAGACACAGAAAGACAGAAGCACAATAACAAGTATATTTAGGTGTTTAAATAACCGACAGTGTCAAGAGCAAGTAAAGTCCCTGCCATG